GTTACCACTGTTCCACAGTCCTCTACCCCAAAAAAAAAATATCAGAGTGAAAATAAATAATGCAATTGCAAGGCAGCCGGTTTTGGGCGGGGGACAAACGTAGGTGTACACTCGGACGCAGTACTTGTCCTAGCTATACCCAGCCAGCGCTACGTGGTGGTACTGGTACTGCTACCACCAGTACGTTTCATACACACATAGAGTACATACTATCATCATCATCGCCCATCTACCGGCTCGCTCTACCTACGTTCCATTGTCGATCGATCGTCGGTCCATGGCTATGGCTGGCTAGGCCCGTGCCCCACGGTACGCCGCGCCATGTCGAAGATTCCAGGATCGACCCATCTTGTACATACGCGTACGTACGCCGAAGCGTACGTGAAAGGGCACGGGTACGTAGCGGTAGCGGTAGTGGGCGCGCGCGCGGGGGGGCTCTCGCAATGATGCATGCATGCCTGTCCCCACGCCGTACGTACTCTACGCTGTACTAGTACTATAGCAGTGTACTCTACCGTATAAGATATGCTCCAGAAATCTTGCTCATCCGACGGACAAGAGGGAGGGAGAGAGCCTGCCGGCTAAACAAACACGAGCCTTTTTTTTTTCTACTGATACAACGCTGCGAGCAGGCTGCAATCATCAGTCGGAGTGCTGCTAACACGATATTTTCGATCGGGGCCCGTGACACAGATTGTTTGTTTACGCGCGTTCCTGAGGAAGCTCCAAGGAAGAGAAGACGACAGCAGTAAAGAAGAGTCGCAAGATCCATCCAATGGGCTGCGTCGGTCCACTGGGCCTATTACAGTCTACACTCCACTCCCACACCCACTCCTTCGACGGAAGAGAAAAAAAAAACAGAGGAGACGCGGGTCAACAAGCCGGTCAAGCTTTTCACGGACACCAGTCAATCAATCAACGAAGCCGACAGACACGCGGGCCCAGGCAACTCGGTCACGCGCGGGAGGGCCCGCAATCTCACTCAACGGAACGGAGGCCCACCCACCCGCTGTTACGGGCCGCGAATTTCGAGGCGCGACCAGCCAAATAATCCATGCCGTAATAACTGATGCCGGCTCACGTGGTGGTCCTCGCCCACTCAATGGAAATGGAATGGAGCCTTCTCCTCCCATCCTGTTTCCTTGGCGCCAGCGTGGCACGCCAACTTCATTCATGACCAAGTTCAAAAAGAAAAAGAATATGCCGGCCGCGTGGTTAGCGTTGACCTGCCGTATCTTAGGGCATGTTTGCTTCCAAATAAATCACCAACTTATAAGTCGAAAAGTGAAAAAAGTGACTTATTTTGCTAAACAGATCCGACTTATAAGTCACCCCAACTTATAAGTCATAAGTTGCTCCACCTCAACTTAAAACTTATAAGTCACCCCCTTTTGCATGGGTCCCACCACCTGCATGATGTTGATTGGTGTGGAAAGGTGTGTCAGGTGACTTATAAGTCAGGTGACAACCAAACAGGCGTGACTTATAAGTCACTAGTTTTAAGTCACCTGACTTATAAGTCGGGTGACTTATTGAAACCAAACAGACCCTTACTTTTTTGCACTTCCTATGTCTCTTCCTGCTCGAGTACGTACGAGTCAATCAATTTCTTTTGTAGTTAAAAAATTATAGAGTTGCACTCCTCCGTTTCTAAGGTGATGTTTGGTTCTCTAGTCGTAAGACTTTTTCTAGTCCCAACTAAAAAGTCTCTAGTTCCTAAAAAGTCCCTCCCTGTTTATTTTCAGAGACTAAAAAGTCCCTAGTCCTTTCCTAGAGGTTGTTAAATGACCATGTTGCCCCTAGTATATAGAAAAATAACAATCAAACAACACCATGGGGTGGCGGGCCAATGGATGCATGGAGGGGCATTGTTGGAGAAGTCCCAGAAAGTCCTAAAAAGACTCTCTTGAGAGTCTTCTTCATTTAGTCTCAAATGCCTAGTTTAGTCCCTAAAAAATCCCTCCCGTTTGGTAAAAAAGGCTATAAAAGGGACTTTTTCTAGTCCCTACACAAAAAAGTCCCTGGAAACAAACACCCCCTAAAATATAAGCCCCTATAGAGATTCCAATACGAACTGCATACGGAGCAAAATGTGAACCTACATTCTAAAATATGTATATATAGCATTCGTATATAGTCCGTGTTAAAGCCTCTTGAAGGTCTTATATTTAGAAACGGAAGGAGTATTTCATATTGGTAAAGCTACAATCTGATTTTGCAAAGTCTCTATCTCTATTCTCCATCGCTATCTCTTATCTTTATTTTTGTCTCTATCTCTATCTCTTATCTTTATTTTTGTCTCTATCTCTATCTCTATCTATAATATTACTCACTCGGTTTCTTTACTTCACATATAATATTTGTCTAAAGTCAAACATCATAAAGTTTGTTTATAGGAAAAAAATCAACACTCACAACACCAAATCAATATTATGATGCATCATTTAATTTCTGTATCATATAACTTTAATATTGTAGATATCGATATGATTTAACATAAATTTGGTCAAAGTTCACGAACTTTGACTCCGGACAAAATTTTCATGCGGAGTGAAAAAGAAACGAAGGGGGTATTAGAGGGGAGTTAATAGGTTCCCTCACCTCCTCTCTTGTTTTTTTTCCTCTTCACCCTGCTTCTCCATTTGGTTTCCTGTTTTTATTGTAAGCTCAATCGATGCCACAGAAATAAAAACCAACATAAATAGAGTAACTTGGAATAATCTAAAGCAAATCGGTATTTTCTAAAACCATGTTACGATTAGAATCACAATCAAGAGATAATCAGGGGGTCCAGGTCATGCTAGACTCATAAGCAAACATGAAGTTATATATATACTTATAAAAGTGTCAATTTCATTTTCATAGGTTCCCACCAAAAACTGCCACTCCTTTTGCATTTTTCACCCAAAATGTTGCTATGTTTCTACTCTCCCCATAGAAAAACACTCCATTTCCACTTCGTACATCTATGTTAAGGTTTCCTGAAAAAGAAATATCTATTTCTATCCCTCTTCGTCAGCAGTAGAGTTTGATGTAAACATAAGATTCATGATTTGTGGAGTCATCGGGGGGACGGGTCACCGACTGCGATGTTAGAGAAGGATAGAAAAATAAGATATAATTAGGAAGTTAGGGTTAGGTTTTTGTAAGCAAACATATCCATTGTATACTGATCTGCAGGTTCCCACCAAAGATGGATGCTCTTTTTCTGCATGTTTTCACAAGATGAAATGTCAGTGCACACAACATTACGATAATAATCATGAGCAAAAGAGATACTCAGGGAGAGTCAGGGTTAAGCTAGACTCATCAGCAAACGTTTCATTCTAGATGTTGCAACCCTCTTAGCCTGGCCACGGAGAGTAGGGTCTTTCTCAAGTGGATATGTCCTAGGTTTTTTCTTTCCCCCGCATGGGTCCCTGGGCCCACCTTATATACAGCGGGCCGCAGGTTAAATTCGCTCAGTGCCCTCCCTACAACGCTCTCGTGGGAGTGTCGTGAGAATTCAATAGATGGAAGGACTCGACTCCCGATCTCTTCCCATATAACTTTCGGTCCTTCTCCCTCAGCAAATATAAACATAGAATGTATATGTTTTTCTCAAACGGCCGAGAAATATAAGAACAACTATTTCTAAGTTGCTGAAAACCATCGTCCGATATAGACATAAAATCCATGGTTCATGTGCACATTAAAAACGAGAAAACCTTGATGTGACGACTATCAATGTCAACCATATTTCGAAGTTGATCTAGCTTAGCAACTATGAAAATCTATTTACAAGCTTCCGTTAACCTCATCGTCACACAAATACATAGGTACAAACTACATTAAAAGTATATGAAAAGAAGAGCGCGACCACATCAGTCAGCATTACTACTCCCCCTCCCCTTCTTTCTTGCGCTCCCGTCGCTTTCCACTCCTCTCTCCCGCATACGCATCCCCCTCCAGACGCGCCACTGCCATCAGTCCCGCCAACTCTCGAAATACCTTGTTTCCACCTTGTACTTCTACATCAAGTTTCCCGAAAATCAAATATATATTTCTATCGCTCTCTACCTGTACTAAAGTTTGATCTAAACATAAGACTCATGATTCATGGAGTCATCGCGGGTTACAGGTCAAAAATTGCGATGTTAGAAAAGGATGAAAAATCAAGAGATAATCAGGGAGTTAGGGTTAAGCTAGACTCATAAGCAAACATAGCTGTTATATACTTGCGGAAACGGCAATGCCGGTTCTGCACGTTCCCGCCAAAGCTGATGCTCTATTTCTGCATGTTTCCACCAGACGACATTTTAGTGTGTGTGACGTTACAATGAGAATCGTGACAAGAGATATTCAGCGTTAGACTATACTCGTGAGTAAACATGACTTTCTTATATACTTATAGATGTGAGTCGGAGTTTTGTGTGACACTGTCATTGGGGGGACGACTGTTTGGTAGGGACAGACAACGGCCGATTGAAGGGCGAGGGCGAAGATACAGCGAGTTCACCCCAAGTCAGGCCCCTCGGGGAGAAGGAAAGACACTACTCCTACGTTCAGTGTTGTTATGGTCGTCGAATATCTAGGGGATCAACGTCAAGGTCCCTCTCCGCCTGGTGGCGGAGAGTGGGGTCTTTCTGAAGTGGATCAGTCCTAGGGTTTTTTTCTCTGCCAGAGGGGGTCCTTGGACCCGTCTTATATACAACGGCCCCTCAGCTTCCATTCACTCACTGCCCTTCTACATCGCTCCGCCATCCTAAGAAATCAGTAGATGGAAGGTCTCGACTCCCGAGCTCTTCCCATCCTTCTTCTGGTCCTTCTACCCCCCAGGTCCTGGTCTCCCTCCATTCCTCCTCGCGTCAATATGGCAATTTCGTTTACATAGGTTCCCGCCGAAAACCGCCGCTCCTTTTTTGTGTTTTGCCTGGAATCGACGCCGGGTTTCTAGAAAAACACCCACTCTCCATTTCGCGCTTCTACGTTAAGGTTTTCCAAAGAAGCAAAATTCGATTCCTACCCCTCTCCGACTGTACTGACACCATCAGCACAAAAATGGAAGAAATCTACGGGTTTTGCTACTTCTCAGGCGCCCGAACAACACGAACAACCACTTCCAACTCACCGTTAAACACGACGGTTTGATCTAAACATAAGATCCATTCATGATTGGTATACACGCATTGTAAGAAAGAAGAAGAAAGAAGAAAGCCTTAATGCGAGGCTATCAATGTGAACCATATTTACCTGTGGCAATCTCCTCATCCGAAATCTTATTTACAAGCTTCCGTTAGCATCATCGTCACACAGCACAAGCACGCCGGTCCAGGCTATACAGTTGCGCATAGAAAAGATCTGAAAAGAGGAGTCGGCGGTACTCCTGCCCCTCCCCCGCCTGCGCTGGTGGACTCCCGTCGCTTTCCCCTCCCCTCCCCTCCCCTC